ATAGATTTTACAACTATTATTATATGTGCTGTATCTATGAGCCCATTTTTGTATGTAGAATATTTTTGCAATACATATACTGGATTTCAAACACCAACAACCATATATCATTATTTATGTAGCAATATAAATATATTTATCCATTTTGAATTTCTACTCCAGGTAGTTTTTTCCTGCGGAGTGTCTTTGTTCAGCATACATTACATCCATATTATCAGTCAAAGTATTGTTACGAAATGTACACGCGCGGTAAGATAGCTTCCTCGCAAAGGAGTTTTAGGGTTGCCACATTTGGCGATATACCATGGACGGTTGGTGAACCTTCTGGAACGAATTCTTACCGGTTTAGCCCAGAATGTGCCCGAACACAAGCCGAAAGCTATGTAAACCCCGCTGGTGTGCAGTCAATATGTGTGTGTGTCCCTCATCGAGAGTGTGTCTCGTCTAGCGAGTCAATACCTGCGGAATCGATCGAGTTGACAGCCGAGCTGCGAGTGCCGAGTGGGTCATCGAGTTCACCGAAGGAGTGTCGTAGAATATCGCGGTTAGTGCATCGTCGAGAGAGCGTGTTGAGCTCCGGAAACGACTGAACCGAGAGTCAGGAGCTGTGCTCTGTGTGTGGTCTAGTGCATCGTGAGTTGTAGCGTGGAGTGTCTCGAGAGTACGTGGAGTTCCGAGAACGACCAAGCAGAGTCGGGAGTTGTACTCCCGAAGGCAGAGTCGGCTGCTTTGCATGAAGCTGTCTCCACCGTGATAGCCTGATAACCTGAAGGCTGTGTCGCTGATCGTGCCAGCGTGTTTATAGTAGATCTTGAATGACTGTAAAACAGTGACTTTGGATCTGTCCTGATTAATATTGGTCTAAATAAAGTGTGTCTCAATACTTCATGAAGTGGCGTCGTTATTCACTCCAAATCTACGAACCCCATATGAACGTGAATTAAGAAAATAACGCAACAGCTGGTGTCAGAAGAATTAGAGAAAAACGTAACATTTGGTGTCAGGAGTGGGGTTTGAAGGTGAATGCCAGTGACAAGACCAATGGAAGATCTATTAAGATAGCTCGTGACTGCCTTTGCTGAATTCCAAGAAAAGATGGAAGCCGGAAAGGAGAAGTTGAAAGCCAGATATGATGAGTTAAAAGCTGGATATAAAGAGATGAAAGCTGAAATAAAAGCCAGATATCATGAGATCATAGCTGGCTATAAAGAGATGACAGCTGAGATCAAAGCCAGACTGGAAGAGAAGAAAGCCCGACGAGAAGAAATAAATGTTGGCCAAGAAAAGGTGCAAGAGCAACTCTCACAGATGAAAGTGGAGCTTGCAGAAGAAACTGGAGCCATAAAAGATGTGGAAATGACAGAAGTGGGACCTGAAGAATCAGAGGATGAAGAAATAAAGGAAGTAGCTGTTGAAGTATCCGAGAAAGCTAATGAAATAAAGGATGAAACATCTTACGAGATTAAAGAAAGAGAACGAAAAGATGAAGAAAAAGACATGAAAGACGCTTCTCATCCTCAGAAGTCTGAAGCTGAACTGGAAGACAGTGGTAATACTGTTTCTAAAGATGAAGAAATAAACAAAGTGGCTTGTAAAGCTTCTAAAAGGGAAGAAGAAGTAATTCATATAAATAAAATTCCTGATTCTCAAGTGCCTGAAGTGAAAGTGGAAGAAAGTGAAAATGTGACTGTTAAGTTCAACGAAACTGATAGTGAAGTTACGAAGTCGCAGTTAGCAAGTATTGAATCATCTGAAAGTGCAAGTGATGCAGAGATGGAAGAAGCTGATGTGCAGCTTAAGCAGTGCGCTCCAGTATTGCAAGAAAATTCACCCACTTTGCAAACTATGTGTGTGTCTGACAGTGCAGACAAGGACTTGATTCTAAACCAGGATACTTCTATTTGTAAAGAATCGGGTTCTGTTCATGATTCTGATGCAGAATTTGGTGTTGAGTCTCAGGAAACGAAGGAAAACAAGTATATACCAGCTGCTAAAAATACCGAGGTGAACTGTGTGCATCCTGCGGATGAACTACAGAGTGGTGAACAAACTGTTCCACATCTTCCTGTGGATAAAGTCTGAAAGGACTATATCTTCATATTGTGATATGCAAAGCAGAAATGCATCTGAGAACTGCAGCGCAAAAGTATTTGATCCGGGTATATTTTGATGAAAAGACCGAGATTGAAATTCATTCAGAACTTTAATTTGCAAAATTTAAAATTGTTATGTGTTTAATTTGTGTGTATAACTTGGACATAGTGTAAATATTTGTTTCTTTAGTTATGTTATCTGTATGTTTTAAAATGTTTCGTTTGTATCGAATTTGGCTTCTGACCAAGGATTGTACTGCCTGGGACGTGCAGTCCTTGGGAGGGGGCAGTGTTACGAAATGTACAGGCGCGGTAAGATAGCTTCCCCGCAAAGCAGTTTTAGGGTTAGGGTTGCCACATTTGGCAAGAAATCGACCATTTGGCGATATACCATGGATGGTTGGAGAACCTTCTGGAACGAATTCTTACCGGTTTTGCCCAAAACGTGCCCGAACACAAGCCGAAAGCTATATAAACCCTGCTGGTGTGCAGTCAGAGTGTGTGTGTGTGTGTCCCTCATCGAGAGTGTGTCTCATCTAGCGAGTCAATCCCTGTGGAGTCGATCGAGTTGACAGCCGGACTGCGAGTGCCGAGTGGGTCATCGAGTTCACCGAAGGAGTGTCGTAGAATATCGCGGTTAGTGCATCGTCGAGAGAGCATGTTGAGCTCCGGAAACGACTGAACCGAGAGTCAGGAGCTGTGCTCTGTGTGTCGTCTAGTGCATCGTGAGTTGTAGCGTGGAGAGTCTCGAGAGTACGTGGAGTCCGAGAACGACCAAGCAGAGTCGGCTGCTTTGCATGAAGCTGTCTCCACCGTGATAGCCTGATAACCTGAAGGCTGTGTCGCTGATCGTGTCAGTGTGTTTATAGTAGATCTTTGACGGCTGTAAAACAGGTTTTGGAGCTGTCCTGACAATATTGTCTAAATAAAGTGTGCTTAGATACTTCCTCAAGTGTCATCGTTATTCACTCCAAATCTACGAACCCCATATGAACATGAAGTAAGAAAATAATGCAACAGCTGGTGTCAGAAGAATTAGAGAAAAATATAACAGTATTACCAACAGAAAGTATAAGATTGATTTGTAGGAAAAAATATCACAGCAGGAAAGCAAATTAATTCTTTAAGCTCTGCTGGTGGTGTCTGCCACCTTTATATATAGAGGTCTGTTTTATCAGTAATAGAGATTGTTTTACTATTCTCCTCCCCTCAGAGGTCTCATCTAGTGGCTTGTCCACATGTGTTTTTGGACAAAGCAGAGATCCTGTGGATATCTGCTTTTAAATGTTGTTTGTGGAATGATTTGGTTGTAGGAATAACTCAAGAAAGAACCCGTTAATATATTGCAAGGGAGTTCTTCTAACCTTCATAAACAGTATTTCGTAGACTTTCTTGGGAGGTCATCTTAAAAAATTCAGGACTGAAAGGGCTATGTAAATGTTCAAGGGAAAGGCAAGATGACATTGTGATTGTGAGTAAACAATGAAATGCAATGGAAAATAAAGTAAACAAAACTCTGGAAAACAAATCTGGCAAAAAAATTTCAGTTTTAAAGAATAAAGAGAAAACTAAAGATAGTGCAATACAGTTGTAAACCTAATATAAGTTACTAATGAAAAACATTCATTAAATAGAAATGTAAACAGGAGGAAAACAGATAAATGAGAAGAAGCAACTTCAAGATTTAATCATATACATTATATGAAACATATTACCTAAGTGCTTGCAATTTTTGTTTTTGAAGTGTTTGTGGCAATAAATTATGCAGTCCTCTATAGAAATTTTAACTAACAGGGGATCCCGAAATTAGTTAAACTGACCTTGAATGATATAGCTACTAGTGGCCTTCATCTTGCCAGTGTACAAGACACCATAGAACAAGCATTCATTTGGAGAATTATCTGATGAATGCACTGGCCAAACCAAAAAAAAAAAAATTGTAAACTGCTGTGTGTTGTGGAAATTTTAGATGTTTAATGCAACATATAGTTGCTCACTGTCCTATTGAAGGATGGCTTTAGGCTGCTTCTGAATATATAGGACAAATCAATCTCATGTCAGAATGGCATATATGCATACCAAATGCAAGCCGAACTCATGCCCAACTGCACTCTATACCATAACTCCTGATGCTGAATTGATATGTTGCCACACAAGGCGAAATTCCAAAACACAATCCCCACAGTGACATCATACATGCAAATGTTCTTCATGACATTACATATAGAAGAGGAATAAGGGCATGCAATGTACGCGGCACCTATAGAATTAAAACTAAGGAAAACAAAACTTATTATTCAATTCTATCATATAATAAAATCCTTAACTACTTTTAATTTGTAGATGTGGTTTGAATCACTGATTTTAAAGTATGAAATTCAAACGGAAACATGTTGCATGCAACCTCCAATATCTTTCTGCTGTAATGTATTTTGCAATAATTGACAAAACAGATAATCTTCTCAGTAAAACATAAATTTTATTTTTAGTTTATGGAGATAGATAAATTATATACAATTCTCAAGTGGCAAAATTTTCATACATCTACTAGCTGGTCAAACTTCAGAATTCTAATCTTAAAACAATTTCTTATGTTGCTGAGCAATGGTTACATAATACAAATATGGCACTTCAACAATAAATATAGTTATTTGATAAATAACAAAATATTACACTGCCCACTCCTCATCCTAAAAGAATTGTGCATGGTGATGAGCATTAGCATTCAGCTGAAGAAATATTTACAATCGGCAGAGCAAATGCCTCAATTCCTCCTCTTTTTACTCTCAATGTGAAAGACTGGACATAATTCGCAAGCTAGCATGCTGTTATGCCATAGCTGGAAAGAGAGAATATTCTATAGTTTATCACTGAATTTAAAGCAATTTATTACTACTTTTTAGAGCACTAGAGGCAACTTTTCTTTGTTGTGGTATACTGCAAGATTAAGGGGAATATTTTTTCTACAAATCTGAAATAACATACACAATTCAAAAAAATTATCTAGTTAGCAGTTATTAAATTAAAGAAAGCCATACTCTTAGCTATCTTTTCAACTACTTGGTAGTGACAGAACAAAAGCTAGGAATAAAGATGAAATAATCAAATTCACTGCTTTAGTGATGAAATAATTTAACACATGCTAATTTCTGCACAGGCACACTTTCCTCAACAAATTTCTCCTTTTTCAAGAAGACTGTTATTGCCTGGGCAGCACCAGTGTCAGAAAATTTCACCACAGGCTATGTTGCATATGCATACCTATCTTAGAAGTTGCGGTGAAGGAAAAAAAAAAAGAGAAAATGTTTTGTCAATTAGAAGCCACAAATTTTGACTCATGCAGTAGCTTTGCAGGTTCAAAGAAGAAAGTGACTGTCATTTTGTTCGCTAAGTATAACTTGTCATTGCATTTTAGTTACATTGGTCATATATATATATATATATAAATGAATAAATAGGATGTAAAGATTACAGTAATGCAAAGTAATTCTAATGACAATGCAACAAAAGATGTAAATATCATATTTTGTTATAAAGTAAAATATCCTACAAAAATGCTGGTTGATAGCACCAACTAGAATAGAAGAGAAACATGCCAATGTGACAATCAAAATCGTAATAACAACCTTGTATTTAGCGTACATATATTAAAACACTCAATCGATTTCGAGGGCAGCTAAAGGTCCCTCCTCATCAGGAGAACAAAATTACTAGAAAGGGGGAAAAGAAGAAAAATAAAGCATTGGCAAGGGAGTCTCAGAAACACGTGGTCGTTATCAACACGCACGTGGTCGTAACTGGATTTTGAATCAGAGTTACACTGGCCGCCTACTTTTACTGAGCCAGGCTCTCTGATCAAACATATAACACACAGAATAAAATGCAAACAAATCAGAGAAGTCAAAAATTAGGGAGCGAGGGGCAATTGCACCTTCACGCACCAAGTCTGAACCTCGAATAAAGGGAAAGCAACCTCTTTAGCGGCTTTTTATGCATCATATTATATTACATAAATCACATCATATTTTGTTTTTGGTTTGGGCACATTTTTCTCCCCTATTACTTGCAGTTGGCCACTCTGCTTCTAGGTCTTGCATTCAACTTATTCTACACTGAATATGGGATTAATTTTAAACTTTTTTTCAAATTTTATTTTGCACTGCTACCAACATTTGTTGCTGATATCAGTGCAAAACTGAATTAGATTTTGATCTTTCTTTTGACTTTGTATTTATTCATTTATGTCAATTTATTCATTTATGTCAATTCAGAACAGGCTGTTTTATTTATTTACTTCTTTAATTGTACCAAACACCCCCTGATAACAATGCAGCAAAAGATGTAAACATCGTATTTCGTTTTTGGATTCAAATATCATATTTCATTATTATACAGCTGATTAATTTTACTTGATTCCTTCAGAAATATAATTTTAATCAGAAGTGATTTTTGTAGAAAATAAAAATTTCTGAATCAAAAAAGGTCTAAATAGTTAACATTTAGTTCCATTAGATACGTGATAATAACCGTCAATCTACAAAAATTAAAAAGAAATTTTTGATAATTTAATTCTAATTCTTTTATTACTAAGCATATTTTGTAACTACATAGCAACAGACAACACAAGCCATAAGAACAGGATTCCACAGTTTAAATTTTCTTCTAGCGTAAAAACCTAAAAATAAAAGAAAATATTTTCATACAGATATTCCTTCATATATTTAATAATTAAAAACAATATTAAAGCTTTTTTTCTAATCTGAATATGGAATACAGTTTACCTGATTATTTTACACAATAACTTTCAATACCAACTCAAACAGAAGACCAACACACCAATGTATTATTGGGAGTACAAATAAGTCTCCAACATTTGACAAAAATTGGCACCACTAGTAAGTAATGGTTAAAATCTCCTGATGTAACGCATCATAATGTAAGACTGGGCATATAGTTATTGCTGGATAGATGAAAAATGGATCCACTATGATAACCAAATGAAGAAGAAATCATGAGGGCCATCTGGCTATGCATCAGCATCATCAGCCAAGTTCAACATTCACAAGAAAAAAAAGTCGTGTTATATATACGGTGGGATCAACTTGGTGTCATGTATTACAAATTGCTCAGACCGAATGAATATATTACTGGGGTTCGCTACCAAATACAACTGATGAGACTGAGCCAAGCACTCAAAGAAAAATGTGCCCACTGTTACTCCATACATAACAAAATTATTCTCCTGCATGATAGTGCTCATCCACATGTCGCAGCACCAGTCAAAACCTACTCGGAAACACTCAAACGAGAACTTTTTCCCTAGCCACCGTATTCATCAGACATTGCTTCTTCTGATTACTATTTGTTTTGATTGATGGCAGATGGACTGTCTCAACAGCATTGCACATCACATGAAGATACAAAAAAATTGGATTAATTTGTGGATAGTCTCGAAAGATGAAGCATTCTTCCGATGCAGCATCCGTATGCTGCCAGAAAGATAAGAAAAAATAGTGGCTAATAATGGACAATATTTTCAATAAAACATAATGTACCGTTTGGAAATACTTCAATAAAACATAATGTCTTTTACAATAAATGCCTAACTTTTCATTAAAAAAAGGCAAAGGCTTATTTTAACCCCCAATAAATTTTAAATTAAGGAGGGAAAAACAATAATCTTAGTTTGGTGTAGATTTTGAATAAAATTTATAGGTTTCAAGGACAATTAGACACAGGTTCATCTTGCTTCTCAAGATGGGGACCTGTGCCTGAATCATCCTCAAAATCTCAGCCGACGATTGGGCACTACTAAGGCCAGAAGTAGTGGTCGCATTATTATGGAGGCACTTAATAGGTGGGCCACATTTGCCTCTTATGAAGGAATGGACAGTTACAGCAAAGCCTTCTCCGGGATTCGAACCTGAGCCCTTTGGTATCACATTTGGCTCCAATAACCACTATACTATCTGAGCGGCACTTTTTGGTTGTTATCTAATTTTAAATTTTAACTTCTAAGTTTTTTTAACTTGAAGGCTACATATTCTAAATTCATGAAGTTTCTTTCTTCCTACATATAATACATTTTTTTTTAATTCTGCTGAAATTTTCTAAAAACATTCATAATAGAACTTTTTGCAATATAATTTCAATAATGCTTCTCCACACTATTTATACCTAATAAATCCGCATCACTGATCGTGAAATCTCACTTCATACAGAATACTGTGAATCTAGAGAACAATTTTTAAAATTCCAGTTAATTTGGGGCACATCAAAACTAAATCACTTAACTAAGTAGTAAAACTTCAATGTATTATAAAATAATATTAATCCATCATTTCCCAGGTCACAGATTATTTCAAACGTATAGATTAAGAAGCATAATTTTCAATGAGAATTTTGATACTCACACTATTAAAGTCGCAGTGTTATTCAGTAAAGAGACTACTAAGAAAATATGCTTTTGCTTTTCATTTTAGTCAAGAAAAATTATAATTTAAAAGTTTACACATACCACGTATGTACAAATCACACAGCATACTTCTGACACTATAATAAATACTGACAGAATGAATTTCAATCCGTTCCAAAATACTTTTGCCCAAAGTGATTAGGTGCAACTGGATGGACCTCAGAAGTCAATATTGTCATTGTTGGGTAAGCCTTCATCACAGAATGTGCAGCTAAAATAAAAATATGCTTTTAAAAGCTCACTCAATTCTTTAAATAAAAAAACAATTGAATAAAGAGAGAAAGACAACATTTTAAATTTATAATACATCACAATTAATTTTTAGATGTAAAAATGAACCATTATTACAAGTTTGAAAGTTCATTTAGTGAGTCTACAAGTTGAAATGATGTACTTAAATTTTTATCATCATGCCATAAGCAATTTAAAAGACAATGTATCATGTAATTACATTCAATAACAGATTTCAATTTTTGTTATGGAACTGATCAATTGCATTCTTCCTCTGCTATCAAATAGCTTTCATTAAATTCATGAGAAAATTATGCATATGTGATAAATATGTTTCCAGCAGTAGTTGCATTTAAAACACAAAGAGAACTGGTAAATCTTACATATTCAAAGAAAGAATCTAACTATCCAATAATGCAAAATCATATAAATTAATTTATTTTTATTATCATATCTTAGAGAGATGTTCACTGATATTTTTTTTTTTTTTAAATCAGTACTCTGAATTTACTGTACACTGATATAATTTAAACAAACTTCAAAAACCTGAAGGCAACCATATAGTTTCAGCATTACTTTAATAAATATATTTATAAATTTTTACTAAAAACATTAGCTTTAAAAAATACTTCAGCTCTAGAAAATATGTGTTCCTCAAACTAGTATTAGACAAAAAACTTCATATGATTTCTGCATTGCATGCAAAGGAAAATAGCGAGTTTTAAAAACTTTGCACTTAAGTTTCCCACTAAATTTTAAATACCAATCAAAAATGCATCAGATAAGACAGACTACAATTGTCAATTAATGCAAAAAATTAATCATGTAAGTGAATGCCAATGAATTTTGTAATAACACTACATACACATTATCTTTTAAACAGGTAAACATAATTTTTTTTTGAAAATGAGAATATAAAACTATGATAACTAAAGCAAAAATATTAGATAAAAAAAACATAAAAAAATCTGAAAGTTTTCAGATTTTATATTACACCGAAGCTGCTTTTGTTTAACATTTTGTATGTTACTTTTATTTATATCATGTTCTTCACATTATTATATTTATATCATGTTCAACCACAAAATTCAATTCAACAGCAATATCAGAAAATAATTTTAAAATAGCATTCTTTAGAATTTCGGATACACAGCTTCACGCAATTCACTCATACTCGGTGGATGATTGATTACCTTATTCAAAACTTGATTGCTCTAGATACCATTGTTTTATCACAATGTTAGAAACATACATATATTTTATGCAGATTCCTCATTATTTAATTTCTTTAAATATAACACAGGGCGATAATATTTGGTGGCAACAATCTGAAAAGTGAAACGGACATTTAAAGTTTTCGATGCAAAATGCCAAAATGAAATTAACAGCCCTTCTGGGCTAATAAAATAAATAAAAATTTGAAAGCTTTCAGATTTTATATCACGTGCAAAGAGGCCATTTTAAACATTTTGTGTGTTACCTTTACTTATTAAATATCATATTCTTCACACTTAAACCATAAAATTCAATTTAACAGCAATATCACAAAATAATATTAAAAAGGCATATCTTTAGAATTTCAAAAGACAATCTCACACGGTGGAGATAAAAAGGTTTTTTCTCATACAATGTTGCCACTGCTTGCTTTGAAATCATCGAGTTTGTTAATCAAAAATTTGTTAAAGTTTTACAAAATATGAAATAGATAATAAAACAAATTCCAAATTCGATGGCCATATTCATGTGGAGGATTACATTATTCAAAATTTGATAGCTGTAGGTACTGTTGTTTTATCACAGTGCAAGAAACATACATACATTTATGCAGATTCTTCATTACTTAGGTTCTTTAAATATAATGCAAGGCTCTAATTTGATGGCAACAATTTGAAAAGTGATACACTGTTTACAGTGACTTAAATGAAATTAATAGCCCTTCCTGGCTAATGCCCTTTGGGCTAATAAAACAAACTATTAAAAAATGCATAATTCTGTACCATTATAAAATAAATTTTGATCATTCTAAATCACATAGTAATTTATATTAAATCAATGCAATGAATAAATATGAATGAAAACAAAGTATGAACAAAGCTATGTATAATTACCATGAGGAGTACAAAATAAATTTAAAAGAATGATATTATCTTCTTTAACACCATGATCCTTCAGAACTTTCACAGATTTTATTACAGTATTTCCTGTACCTAAGAAAATATAAAATATTAAATAACTGATAACAAAAGTGCAAAAGTAACAAAACATAAATGCATATAAAAGATGATAGTTGTAATATGTCACTCGATGACTATAATCAAGTTAAATATTTTTCAGATATCATGCTAATAATTACAAGACATAAAAAAAAAGAAAAGTAAAATCTATCAACTACAGGGGAAAAATTTTTAAAAATTCTGTCTGTAAGAAAACTGTTAAATGAATCAAAGGATCTAGTACATTTTGAATACTTAATTTATCACAATAAATATCAGAAAAGCTGAGTGTTAAACACTTACGTATTAGATATCCATACCCAATGTTAATTTCATTAAAAATTATTTAAGCTTTCACAATGCATAATATTGATTTGTTGTGCCATAAATGTAATTTTAGACAGTGTCTAGTCAAAGATACTTAAAAAATGACAAAATGAGACTTACTTGGAATATCTTTCAAATTCAAACAGTATGATGGGGAAGGGGAGGAGATTGTTAATATTTTGTCAATAGAAATAAAATTTGAATGGCAAAAATCGGCAAATAGAATATTTTAAAATTTTTATTTGTTCAAAATTCCATGATTTATATTTTCTATAATATTTCTCTAAAAAAGGCTTTTCTGTTTCTAAGCCTTTTTTTCTTTGAAAGAATGTAGGGAATAAGTAAAATAACAAATATTTAAAAAATCAAATTAGTAGTCCATAGTAATTAATTTAGTAGTCTTTTTAACTCTCTACTTAACTTTATGATCTCTACTTTCAGTATGTACTTTTTACTTGCATTTCCTGTATTAAAAATAGTAACAGCTTATAACCAATTCCTTTAAATTACATTATTTCCAATCCTCCCTGCACATTTCTTACATAATGCTAATGATGCAGATACACTGAAAAGCCAAAACACTATGACCACCTACTCAATAATAGGTTGAGCAATGTCTGTCTTCCAAAACAGTTGCAACTCTCCTTGGCATGGATGCCATAAGTTCTGGGTAGATGACTGGAGACAGGTTGTACCAAATGTCTAAGCTAAGGTCATGCAATGTTGAGATATCTGACATGATGTTGTTTGAGCTCTGAGATGCTACTTTATTACGTCTCAAATGTGATCTGGCAAGTTAGGTGGCCAAGACATTACTTGGAACTCATCCTTATGCTCCCCAAATCACTCCAACATAATTTAAGTCTTGTGACATGGAGCATTATCCTGCTGGAGGATTCCACTTCCAGTTGGAAAGACAAGACGCCATGCAAGGGTGCAAATGATCTGCAATTATGCTCACATAATCTGATGTTTCGTAGGCTGTTTAAACCACAACTAAGGGACCTACAGCCACTCATGAGAACATCCCTCAAAACACAATACCACCAACACCAACCTGTGTATGACCTGATGTACAAGAAAGGCAGGAACAACTGTTCGTCTGGAAGATAACATACCCTGACACGACCATCCACAAGATGAATAAGAAATTGTGATTCCTCTGACCAGGCAACTGTCTTCCACTTATCCATGGTCCAGTCTTGATGTTTCCAGGCCTACCATAGGCATAGCTGACAATGACACTTGATCAGCAGAGGCACACAAGTGGGATGTCTGCTGTGCAGTCCCATATCCAACAGTGTCTGCTGAAATACATGTTCTGAAGCACTTGCACTTGGGCCTGCATTGTAATGGGCTGCCAGCTGAGCCATTGTCTGGTGCCAATTTTGCTGTACCAAGCAGAACAGTCTCTGATATATTTTTCTTTGAAGTCATGTGAATGTCCAACACCTTGGCATCTACTGTTGGTTTCAATGGCATTTATCCACTTTGCATAAATACTACCAATAGCAGATCATGAATAACCTACCAGTAATGCAGTTTCGGAGATACTTGTTCCGAGTCTTCAGGACATTATAATTTGCCATCTATCAAATTTGCTTAATCAGCAACCTTTCATATCACTCGCAAAAGTGCAAGAATGATTCCTTACCTTCTCCAGCAACAGTTAAATAACATTCCCACTTACTTAATCATGCGCCCTCCACAGCATCCAGACAAGTTAATTAAGAAATGAGCGATTGGTCATAATGTTTTGGCTTGTCAGTGTAAATAACACTTTGGCCAATAATAATTTTCAGTTTTGTGAAACTAAACTTTTAGCAGCCAACAGACATAAATTTGAATTAAAAACTAAATTATGCTGAATAAGATTTTCATCTTAAACATTGTGTTTTCTCTCTTGCTTTTTTCTCCTGTTAGCTTGCTACTCTTTCATTGTTCAGATATCTTTCTTTGAAAATTGTGAAAATTTTGTTAAAGAACAGGAATGTTTTTAGTACTAATTTATCTGAATCTGCATCAAAAATGTGATTTAAAAAAAAAAAAAAAAAAAAAAAGAATAGCTCAACTGACTATGACTCCAAGCATCTTCAACTTCAACATCTAAATCTTTGTAGATGTTATTAATATTTTAAGATAATTACACTGGGAAAATCATTTACATAAGAAATAGAAATTAGAGAAATGCAGTTAGTTTTGACATGTTTGCAGCAGCTTTTCGAGATGCTTTTGCTGAAAAGAAATTTGGAAACTATAATACTTATCACCTTGTTTAATCTTCAGAATTTAGGTATTCAAAATTCACCAAAATGTAATATAATGGTATTTTTAAACGTGATGCAGAAAGGAATAAAAATATTTCCTTTTGATGTTATTTTCAAATGTTATTTTAATGATATTATACCAACAATAGTATAATTTGTAAAATGTGGGTCATGAAATTTCCAAATGATTGAATCAGATTTTTTTACAGAAATTGGTCTTAAAATAGTTAAAATACTAATAAATCACCCCTCTCATCATAAACAACAAAAAGGAATAAAAATATTTCCTTTTGATGTTATTTTCAAATGTTATTTTAATAATATTATACCAACAATAGTATAATTTGTAAAATGTGGATCATGAAATTTGCAAATGATTGATTCAGATTTTTTTTACAGAAATTGGTCTTAAAATAGTTAAAATACTAATAAATCACCACTCTCATCATAAACAACAAAAAAAAAATTCCTATTCTAAAAGGGAAAGAACTCTGCTTTTGATATAATAAAGAGGATGTATCTAGGCTTAAAATACAGATTTGGTGACAAATCTTTACATTATGCAGCATACATCAGTGCTGCATTAATAAGTTTAGGTAAGCAGTCGGCAAGAAGAAAGAAAAGAATTGAAAAGAAAGGAGTTTGCATTCTGCTGTAGCAGAGAAACATTAAATTTTGAATTGCATTCGAAAATATAAATTGTAGATTGAGACTAATTGAGAAGTCCACAATAAATTATAAGAATTATAAGCTTCGAAAGTATTCACACTTCACTGCTCATAATAGCAAAAATATTCTTCTATTATTTAGTTAAAGACTTTTTCATAACTGCCTATGCAATTTTCTTCACATCACAATTTTTAATATACTTCTCACCCAAAGTGGTGCTTGCATATTATCCTGTCAACTGCCCCCGTAACACAATTTAATGCCAATTATGGATGATCATGTTCTTTAAAATTCCACAGTCTCTTACTAAATATTTAATTATGATTAATATAATTAATTATTATTTTATAACTTAATATCTGAATAAACTATTTGAAGATAGAACAATTAAATAATTTCATTTAGAATTTGACAATATGTTAAATGAAAATAGAGAGTAAAAATGCAACAAAATACATCATAAACTATAAACAAAAACAATTTCATCAACGTATATGTGACTGCAGTTTCGATGCAAGTGAATCAACATGAAAGCTCTAAAAATAAATAAAATCACCAAATGCAAGAGAGAAATGAGAAAATGCCTGTTTGGGAATGCGCTGTGACGAAGCATATATGCTAAACTAAAGTATCCAAGAGAAAGCATATAGAAAACATAATAACAAAAGGTTTCAGGAAAAAAAAAATTTGTTTGTTTGTTAGGGATCTGGTTCTAAAACTGGAGTCAGAAGAACAAAATCCCATCAGTTTGCTATGCCCCTTTATGTAACACCCAAGACAGGAAATTCTTTGATGTTTTCAAGTGTGGGGTCTGGAAACACAAAATAATTCCAAGTGCTAAAATTATACTTTTATAAACCATCATGAAACAAGTTATAATTCTTTTTTCACAAAAAGCAATTCTAAATAAATTAATATAAAATAAAACACCAAATGCAAGAGAGAAATGAGAGAATGTCTATTTGGGGGGGGGGGGCACTGTTGAAGCATATATGCTGAACTAGAATATCCATGGGAATGCATATAAAAAATATAATAACAAAAGGTTTCAGGAAAAAAAATTTTTTTAATTGTTGGGGATCTGATTATAAAACTGGAATCAGAAGAACAAAATCCCATCTCTTTGTTGTGCCCTTTTACGTAACACCCAAGACAAGAAATTCTTAGATGTTTTCAAGTGAGGGGTCTGAAAAAATACAAATATTTCCAAATCCTAAAATTCTTTTTATAAACCATGATGAAACAAGGTTATAATTCTTTTTTCTCAAAAAGCAATTCTAAATAAAATAATATAATATAAAACACCAAATGCAAGCGAGAAATGAGAGAATGTCTATATGGGGGGGGCAGTGTTCAAGCATATATGCTGAACTAGAATATCCATGGGAATGCATATAAAAAATATAATAACAAAAGGTTTCAGGAAAAATTCTTTTTGTTTGGGATGTGGTTCTAAAACTGGAATCAGAAGAACAAAATCCCATCTGTTTGCTATGCCCCTTTACGTAACACCCAAGACAAGAAATTCTTAGATGTTTTCAAGTGAGGGGTCGGAAAATGCAAAATATTTCCAAGTGCTAAAAATATACTTTTATAAACCATCATGAAACAAGTTATAATTCTTTTTTCACAAAAAACAATTCTAAATAAAATAATATAATATAAAACACCAAATGCAAGAGAGAAAGTATGTTTGGAAGGGGGCAGAGTTGAAGTATATATGCTGAACTA